AAATAAATCTATATTTGCTTTTCAGTCACATTTTCCATATTTAAAAAGGAGGAAAAAGCTCTTCCGACCTAAACCATCTGCATACACTGGCCAAAAACAATTCCAAAATTCTGTAAATCTATTTGAAATTATATAATTGATCCTGGTCAAGAACTTGCCTATGGAATTACAACAGCTCTAAATGGTATTTTCTGATGTCAGCTTGAACCATTTCCTTTCCCAAGGCAGAGCAGAAGGTTCCATCATTTAATCATTCCCAGCACTTAGGATCAGACAAGTAAGGCAAGTTGCAAGGTCTGCATTAATATCAACACTCCAGCGACCTCTCACACCCCATGGCACAGTGAGAACTCAATTTTACATTAATAAACCCTAACACCAAACTGGTAGAAACTCAGAAGACACCAGGTATTACAACTCCCATAAATTACAGCCGAGCTCAAATGGCCCGTACGAGCAATTGTACAGTGATAAAGCCTAAGTGGATGATATTTAAACAGATATTTGATTTACTGCAGAATTTTACATCGTGCTGGAATTCAAATGACAATTTACAAGTCCAGAGACCAGAAATCCCTGTCCCATGCAAAGTGCTGCTTGCAGTGCTCTGTCAGAAGAGCTGAATGCTGAATCCTTCCCACTGATGGGCTCAGGGCACAGAAGCCAAATGATAAAACAGAACACTGAAAAAGAGAATGAACCAAGCTGCTGCTTCATCCCCAGGTAGGAAATGACATCCTTGGTCTCCTCAGAGTGATGGCTCACAAATCTCACTTCTGCAAGGCAGCTGCCTGTGGGTCCTGGCACCACAAAAACCTCTGCTGCCAAACTGGGGGTCTGTCTGTCAGGCTCTTCAGAGATGCACCAATTGTGAAGACTGGAGAGCAGAGGGACTCATCTCTTTAGGGACATTAGCACCACTAAAATCATGGAATTGGAAAAGCCCTCGAAGACCACTGAGTCCAACCTGTCACTGTCCCCAGCCCACAGCACTGAGTGCCACGTCCAGGAGATCCGTGGACACCTCCAGGGATGGGCAATCCAAACCTCCCTGGGCAGCTCCAATCCCTGAGCACCTTTTCCTTGGGGAAATTCCTGATGCTGTCCACCCTGAGCTCCCCTGGCCCAGCCTGAGGCCGTTCCCTCTCCTCCTGTCCCTGCTCCCTGGAGCACAGCCCGACCCCCCTGGCTGTCTCCTCCTGGCAGGAAAATTTCCTCACTGAAAGGGGGGGGTCAGGCACTGGCACAGGGTGACCAGGGAAAGGGTGGAACACTTCCATCATACCTGGAAGTGTTAAAAAAATGTTTGGATTTGGCACTTAGGAACAGGGATTAGTGGTGGGCTTGACAGTGCTCGGTTAAGGGCTGGACTTCATGATATTTGAGGGCTTTTCCAACTGTAAAAATGTTGTGATTTTATGCAAATAATAGCTGGATTTACAGAGGAGGAATTGTGGGATGCACAATCCAGAGCAGAACTTAAACATTCAAACAGGTCACAAATGGCTCCCCTGAGACCAGAAACCCTCCTGTTCCCCAGCAAATAGCAACTACAGATAATTCTGGGTGATAAAAGAAAAAAAAACAAAACAAAACCCAAAACATCAAGGAGGGGATTTATCAGAGGAAAAAAACATTGCAGGCTTCCAGTGGGATCCAGGAAAATCTCTGGGCCAATAGCTGGAGCAGCAGTAATTGTTCCAAATCTATCAATAAAGCTGAGCTGCTCCTTCATTGACTGCAAACACCAATTTCTTTCATGGGGGATTATAAGTTGATGTTCATGGTCTCTCTACCACCATTAGGGTGATAAACAGTTGAAACTACATCAGGATCTGACACACAGATCAATTCTGGGTCCATAAAGAATCTACACAAGAGGTTCCTGGACAGGGATTTACTGCCCCCAGTTTTTATTCTCTCTCGCTGCTAAAATTACTTCTGTCAAGCACTTACAAGAGTACGGAGGAGAAGTGGGGGAAAAAAAATAGGAAAAAAAGGCAAAAAGAATTAATTTTTCATGTGCTGCTGGAACAGCCTTTTGAAATTTCGGGAGTTTTTAAGGCAAATATGTTCCTGCATTGGAAATGATGCTGAACAGCAGGTGGGACTGAGCTAAATAGTGAGCCAGCAGCACGAGCTGCTCACTATCCAGCACGCAGCAATTTGAAACACCAAACTAAGCTGTCGAGATTTTCTCCCAGGGCAGGCACAGGCTTCATGTTACCAGCGCCAAATTATATTAGACATTTAATTTTAAACCTCAGGTACTTAAATGTAAAACCTTACAACAGTAATAGTCATAAAGCAGTGGGGCATTCCATTTCAGAGAATGGATTTTTCTATTTTTCCTCTTTAATTTAACCAGCACCTCCTGTTTTGTGGCTCTGCCCACTACAAAGTAATTTATCTAATTAGGAGATGTTCACAGCTGCTTGAAAGACAGAAGCCCCAGGAAACCAAAGGTCTGGTTTGGAAGACTTTGAAAAGTTCTCTGGAGCCACACAAAGTATTAATTTAATGTGAAAAAAAGGTGCAGAGAAAAATTGAATCCCAATATGTTATTTTGTCTACAATAAAACCACGTGACAATAAGCAGGCATATTCTCCAGTACATTGGCATTTGAATTCCAAAAGATGCTTAGCTTCTTGCCATACCTGCTGCTTTCACAGTATTAGCTTTTTATGACTAAAATTCAAAAATCTTTTAATGGAGAAAAAACCCCCAGAAATTAAAAAGGGTTTTTCATGCGTCAACTTGCCAACATAAAGGACACATCTCTGAGCTTACCCAAAGATGATACACTCAGAGCAATCAATTATTCTTGAGGTTTTGTAGGAATTTTAGTGCAATACTTCTGAGTCTGCTGACCCTTAGTTGTCTAAAACTCGTTTTTAATCCAGTTTTCCCTCCATATTTATAAAAAAACAACCCCGCAAATTTATTTTTTTTTACACATTAGAACCTCTGCAAGAAATTATTTGAGGTAGGCTTCTTCACAAGTACCCACCAGTCACCTGTAATTTCAAAATAAGGATTTCATAGGTAATTCTGGCTGTCGTCTCTTTTGAGCCAGAAGTAATCCCACATGAATGTCAAGTCAGAAACAGGTACTGCACACATGGGGGACTGCAGAGCTGGGGTGGGAGAAAAGGCTCCCTTTGCCAGGAATTGCAAACCAGCTCGGGATCAGCAGCAGGAGCAAAGGGCAAGTCCAGCAAACCCAGCACTTTGAAGCCAAGGGGATGGCAAAGGCAGGAATTCAGGGGTTATTCCTACTTTTTAAGATTCCATTTCCATGCCACTTGTAGGAGTTTGCTGAATTTTGGAGGTTTTTCTCCCCTGCAGCCTCATTTGGGACATGTGGCACGGGGATAGCACCTGCTCACCTGGCTGCAGGTGTGTCAGGGTGCACAGGACTGCAACCTACAGCTCCTGCTTTCCCCCTACAGCCAGCAATCAACATTCTTCATCTTGCCTTAGAAAAGCTAGAGGATAAAAGGCACAAAAAAGCCCAAATTTTGTTCTGACCTTTCAGAAGGGAGGTGGAGCTGGGGTGGATTAAAATGACCAAGCAGTTCAGGAAAAAGAGGCAGAAAATGTATGATTTTAAGTGGGAAAACCAGCACAGCCTCCATGCAGGGCAATGCTGCCTCCCCTAAAAGCTTAACCAGGAGTGGGTGAGCTGGGTGGACACAGAGGAGAACAGGGCTGAAGCTTTTGTTTCACTGTGCTGCCTCACAACATCCCTGCCTTCCTGCAAGGCTCACTCAGAAAATTCTTAGGCAACATCTGGGCCATTTCAATGCAAATTCTCCTGAAGGTGCTGCCTCCATGTTTACAGCTCCAGGAAAAGGTCTCTGCTTTGCTAAGTATGTATTTGATAGTTAATGCCACTCTGAAACACGGGGATCATGATTTTAAACCCTCTGTTCTCCTAAGGTGGCACTAAAAACCTGCCCAGAGATGCTCTCAGGGCTATACTCACATTCAGACCTTCTACAGAGATATATGTGGGACACGTGAAATAGTTCCCATATTCCCCTAACTGTTCCCATTTTAGGGGCAGCCATCAGAAACAGCATTCCTCCCCTTTCTCCTGACCTATTCACCCTGGTCTGGTAGCAAACATCACATCTACTCTTTTAAAAACAATTATTGCTACAACCTAATAATTCCTAAACACCATCAGGAATAGTGTCTGCTCCTTTTAATGCTGTTAAATGCTCCACAGAGGAAACACTCAGACTGTGCCAGGAGTGTGCAGGCAATGGAGCAAGAGCACAGCAGAGAAAGGACACGCTGAGGAGAAGATCTGGAGGGTCATTTACTGCTAATACCCATCACACAGGGCAAGAAATCTGAGTATCAAGCAAACAACACACATTATGTGGCTGCTCCATGTCTGGGAGTGTCCAGGGCCGGGCTGGATAGGGCTTGGAGCAACCTGGAATACTGGAAGGTGTCCCTGCCCATGACAGGGGAGGATGGGCTTGAAGGTCCTTTCTAACCCAGACCATTCTGGGATCCCATGATTATGTACCTGAAATTAAAATTAAGCAGTACTGCAACTACATGAGCTCTTCATTTTGAAAAAAACAATCACAGAATTCTCTCAGGCTGCTCCAAGTCCCATCCAGCCTGGCCTTGGACACTTCCAGGGCAGCCACAGCTTCTCTAGGCAATCTCTGCAAGGCTTCACCATCCTCTCAGGGAAGGATTTCTCCCTAATATCCAAGCTAAACTTCCTCTCTTTCAGTTTAAAGCCCCTCCCCCTTGCCCTGTCACTCCGTGCCTGCATAAAAAAAGTCAATGTTAAAACTTAATCCATCCCCTTTCTTCTAATTCCAATTTTCCCCTCAGACTCTGCCAGCTCAGCACCCAACACCACAACGGAGTGGGCACTTTTTTTTTTCCCCTTTTGAAAAAAAACCAAGAGCACCAAAGTCCCCCTTCACCCCAAGGCACGTGACCCCCCCCAGAGCTCCAGGTTTCTTACCACTGCTAATGCCAGAGTTGGCAATGACTGTGGCCTCGCTCCACTGATCGGCACTGGAGACCGAGTAGGAGCGCTGGTGCATACCGTCCGGGCGGCTGTTGAAGGACACCAGACTGATCCCACTGGCCATCTGAGACACAGATGTGCTAGTAGTCACGTTCCCTAGGCACAAAGGGAAAACAAATCGTGTCAATAGAGAGCACAGAAGGGGTTTCGTGTCGGGATGGATGTGGGGGGGTGGTCTGAATGAGCAGAAATAAGGGGTTACTTCACCCACACAACGACCTGCCCTGAAGCGCTGGAGCTGACGGTCCTGAGACCAGCTCAAATCCAGCTAAGAAGACAAAAAAGCCAATTTTTTCATGGTGTCACCTCATTCTGTTCATTCACCTTCTGGAAATGTGGTCTTCCACCACTCTGCTACTAGGCACACTCTCTGGAGCTCCTCTGCTTATTAAACTGGACACAGAAAACCAATTTTATTGTATTTGCTGGGAAATGCCCTGATGAAGGCAGGAATGATGCATCCATGTTCTCAGAACGCTAATTTATTACTTTATGATACTATATTATATTAAAGAATACTATACTATACTAAAGAATACAGAAAGGATACTTACAGAAGGCTAAAAAGATAATAATGAAAACTTGTGACTCTCTCCAGAGCCCTGACACAGCTTGCCACCGATCGGCCAAAGAGTGAAAACAACTCACAGCAGAGTCCAATGGAACAATCACCTGTGGGTAAACAATCTCCAAACACATTCCACATGAGCACAGCACAGGAGAAGCAAATGAGATAAGAATTGTTTTCCTTTTCTCAGAGGCTCCTCAGCTTCCCAGGAAAAAAATCCTGGCCGAAGGGATTTTTTCAGAGAATGTGGATGCGACATCAATTTATTCCTAAAAGGCACTGTTTATACAACTGAGCCAACTCCAAGAGAGTTTAAACAATACATCTCTAAATAATACCTGACACAGGTATGTCCCCCAAGAACACACTGATGGGGAGCAAAGGACTGCCAGCACTGAGAGACCAAGAGGGGGGAAAAAAGAACTTTCTTGGACATTTAATCTTAAAACAACGTCGTGACACAAAGCAGACATTGGACTGACTGCAAGTATCATTCCTGGGGCTGGTCCCAGGAATGTGACACAAAAGGGGACACACAAAGAACAGCCTTTACCCAGTAAGCACTTCTGTATTTTCACAATCACTGAGGCCTAGGACATTAAAATGCTGGGAGCTGTGTGCAAGGGGGAGTGACAGGGACAGGTTTCCCACCATAAAACAGGACAAGTGGGATCTCGTTGAATACAGTTTAGAGCAGAAACAATTAAAATCTTTCCAGAAACTCAGGTTTCTGATGATCTTACTTACAGCTTGCTATGGGCCAAAACCTGCTCCAGGCTTTTGGGTTCTGAGCACATTTTACTCCATTCCTAGCAACAGGCCTTGCATATCGTAAAGCCACAAAGAATTTACAGTGTCAGTTTCATTCCTCGTGGCAGGCTCTCTAAAGGTGCCCCACAGGTCCTCTCTGGATTGAAGCACACTCTTAAAAAACACGTGCAAAGGGAAAGGAACAGACGCAGTGTTATAACGCACCCTCACACTTTGCATTTCCATTGCACCTTCTACTGATGAGTTCAGAAAAATTAATGAATTAATTTTCAATGCTCCTGTGAGGTTGTTAATTATCTGCTATCATTTCCCCCATTTTTCAGAGGTTAAATGACCCAGGGCCACAAAGGAAGATTGTGGCAGACTTGAAAATAAAACCCAGATCTCCTGACTCCCAGTTCTATCATTATGTCTTTTCCCAGAGCAGCCTTTGGGAAGACAGCAGAGCTTAGTGAACTACTTTGTGTTTATTAGAGTTGGCATAATTGTCCCTTTCTCTCCTCCCCTTTCCCAAGACAAAATCTCCTCTTTAGTCCTTAACACAGATCCATCACAGTATCTGTGTCTTCAATGTACTTACTCAGCCCCCTAGTACTTCTGCCTGGCAATCTCTGATTTGCAGACATGAAATATATAGACAGAAAAACTCATTTGTTTCATTATGCAAAGACTAAGGTGGGTTTTGGAACCGTGTTGGGACCTCCCAAGGCATGAGACTACAGAGCAGAGGACTAAATTATCATTCAGTATTTGAAAACCACAACAGAAAATGAAAACATGAGCTGACCAAAGTTGAAATTTGCACTACCTTAAAAGAAATCTCTCCTTCCAAATCAGCTTCCGTGATGCTCGCTTTGAAATCCCCTTTTCCTCTGCTATGAAAAAAACTATGAATATTAATAAATTGTCTGGATGATCCACCAAATTAAAGGGAATGGCTGATGTGAATGACAAGAGTTTGAGACCGAGCGGGTTCTACAAACTCAAAATTTAGGCCAGCACAGACACAACACAAACACTGGTATTTTTACGCTGACATCTTCTACCTAGCCCACAAGAGCACCCCATCACCATCTAACCATGATGCAAAACCAACACCTTGAGAAGAGACCATCAAGGTTTCTGTGTGGTCGTGTCAGCACTAAAAGCTTTCCTCTCGCCTTAATGCCATCTGAGGAGCTCCAACCCCACGCTGTGACATGAACCTGTTGAGAAGTAACTTGTTCTGGGAACCAAAGCAGAATTTTTCTTCCACTGCACCTCTCTCAAAGGTATGGGCTGCTAGCACAAAACAGGTGCCAAGTGCATTAATGTGACACTTTGCTGAACTGTGATGAACCCAGCCCAGCTCCCTCTTTCCTACTGCCACAGCCTGGTAACCTTTATCCTGCAACTTCTATGATAGTGTTTATTCAGGATTAAATCCCACTTTGTCCAGGTGCTGCAAGGTCTGTATTTTCATGACATATCGTATATCAAGCCAGTATCCATGAGCAGACATCAGAAGGGCCAGACTATAGAAAATAGTGTGCCTTTCCTTTCCTGTTCCCCTCCCTGGCATGTTCATGTTCAGTTCTAGCACAAACTTCTTACTTAGAAGCTCCTTTTAAAATCGTTATTTCCCAATCCAGTGCTAATTTTCCACTTCTCAGTGCAACTGTAGGGCATGAATCCCACACTAGGCACTAAAGCTGCCACCCCAAAACAAGGACTGCTGCTCTTGCCAGAGCTTCTCCAACAGTCCCACAGTTCTTCACATCTACAATGGGCAAACCCCAAACCAGACACAGCAAAAGTCCTTTAATTTTCCCCAGGGATAAAGCCTGGACAGCAGAAACCACCTCAGCCTTTCAGCAGGCAAGCAGGAGACAGTGAAGAGGAGGAGGCCAGCAGTATCAGTGAAAATGCTGAAGATGTCCCTACCCATGGCAGGGGGGTTGGACCAGATGAGGTTTAAGGGTCCTTCCAGCCCAAACCACTCTGTGGTTCCCTGATCCAAGAACAGCAAAGCCTGTATGCTGGGTCAGGCACGTGAAGCCTTTACATCCTGCACCTCTTGTCGCCCCAGCCAAGGACAGATTCCCATCACCACACCGACCCCAAGCTCCTGCTCTGCTACCTGTGCCATGCTGGAGCTGTGAAAGAGTTGTCTCTTCAAATGCATCCTGCATGCATCAGCTGGTTGCTTAAGTTGATTAGCAGGGGGCAGTTAAATTACTATGCTAATCCATGTATTCTCAGCACTGTTTCCTTGATATGGATATGTGTATCTGCTTACTGGGAAGCCTTGATTAGTTCAAGCTTCAATGTGTCAAAGGCTCCAGATTCTTTCCAAAGAATAATTTTAGCTGTACTCACATCCCTAAAGTGTGGGAGCTGATTTGAAAAGGTACTTACCTCTACCATATGCTATTTTTCTTTAAACAATTTGCATTTCAAAGGGAATATGGCATTTATATTTGAATGAATATCAGTATGTTGCCAGAACTTGTCTCAAATGAGCAAAAAAAAAGATGCTGGTCTCCTATTGAACAAAAATGTTTTCATCTACCAAAGGAGCATCAAAGAAAGAGTTCCTCTTTCTAGCTCTAGACAGCTTTATTAAAACTATCTTTTCTGATGTTATAAAACACCCCGTTACGGCCGCGCTTACAAAACGTTCAAACAATTAAGCCCCACAAAACCCATCCAAATTAAGATTCAAGGTAATTTCCAGGTTCGGCCACTGCTCAGCAGACGAGCCCCTAAGAAAAGTGAGCGTGCTCACACGAAATCCCATTTAAATACCCATTTATTAAGTGTCAAACATTGCAAAGGGCACGTGGAATTAAGCCAAGGAGTGTGGAGAAGCTGAGGGAAACACACATGGGGGCAGAAGGTGAACAAGGGAGTCACTCTGGCTCCTCACACACAGCCCTTCAGATTTCCAAAACAACCGAGCAGAAATGCAAGCCTTAGAAATGAAATTAAAATAACCAGGATTCATACAAACACAGGGCTGGACGAGATGTGAACAGTGTGTGTTGAGTAGGTAAAAGCCAAAAGGTAAATGGTCCATTGTAACAATGGTATTAAAATACGCAATGAAGGTTAATATGAATGCTGGTTTACTTATATGCAGTGACTTGTCCAACAAAAAATAAAGCACTCATGGTTTTGGTCATGTTTGCTCCTGTAATGGGCCAGTATGAGGGACAGCATGTCTGCGATCCCTCTTTTGCTGGTTTTTGACTTAATAATCCAGTGAATCATCACAGGTTAGCAGAACAGACACATCAGTTCAAGCCTTCACCAACTACACCCCCCCTCAATTACAAATGCAGAACGAATACAATTCACAAGCAGACCCTGAGAAGTGAGATACAAGTGACACAAACGGTACTGGGCACAAATGATTTCCATTCCCCGCTGCAGACACATCTGTGATTCCCTCCAAACAAATCAGCTACCAGAAGTTACACTCACAAGTGCAACTAATACACTCCTGGATTTATGAGATGAGCAGCCAGAGCAGGAGTTGTGGAGCAGAACTGTATTTTTCCATGAAGCAGCAGTGTGTGAGACTCGCAGGGGGCTGCACAGAGAGACTGAATCAGATAAACTGCAGCCCTACTGCTCTGCTTTCACCATGTTTCATTTGTGCCAAGCTCCTCATGCTCATGATGAGTTTCTCTTCCAGAAAAAAAAAGAAAAAGAGAAGGAAATAAACCTCTTAAGGCCAGAGGGCTGCGCTCACCAGCTGTTAGAACTAATGAAA